CTCCTTCGTTATTGTTCATTCACCTACTCTTGTGCGGACATTGGTGTACCGTACTATAACCTCCGCTTTCACATCAGAGCACTTCACTAATCATGTATGGTTTCTAGTCGCTCTGCTATATTATTAACTATAAGGTGCATAGGTACATAATAATATTATACACACTGGTACCCGGTCGTTGTTATTCGTCTCCGTGTGCATACACCGTACAAGTGAGTAAACCGAACAGTACACTTCATCATTATTAGGTACCTATGAGACATTTTGAAAATATTATAATTGGTGAACACCGCTACTTTTGCAACTCTTTGATTGCGTAACTTTATAGCTCATGTAGTCATATAGGTACACCATGTAATCTAGTATTTTATTAATGTTTTCGCTACACCGCTTCATTTCTGTTATTATTGCCTCATTATTACACTAACATCAGCATTTTTATCTACTAGGTACAATTTCATCAATAACTTGTCAACATTCTAAAATATCCATACAATATAACTTATCCAATAATTTAATAGCTATGTATGCCCATATATGGAAATATTCACAGAAATATTGGTACCGATAATAGGTACTAGGTACCATTGTTTATTTATCATTTAATAATTATACATAGCCACATAGGTACTGCTCAATGTTCAAAGTCGGTTTAAAAAAAAATATGAATTGTATCAAAGTCTAATTATTATATTTATTAAAAACAAATTAGCTATATGAGGTTCTAGTGTTATTTTTAAAACACTAAATTGTTAATGCAAATGCAAACACTATAAATAATGATATTAAGGTAATTACTTTTAATGTTAGTTTGTATGTTTATTAATTAATGTTATTGATTTGTAAATACTAAATATTTATCAGTTTAGTGTCTTTGTAGTTTGTAAAGTAACTATTCTTTATCTAAAATATAAATAGCTACAATATATTATGATATAATTCCATTCCATTTTCAATTTATTAATTAATGTCATGTACTTAAATGTTTTTCAATGTATTTATAGTCAACATTGTGTGTTCTATCTCCGAAGTAAATATTAAATTTAATTGTAATTTTTTGTCTATAAAATTGACAAATTATTATATTTTATAGTGTATCACCTATACATTATGTACCTATAACCTATGTATCTAATACATTTGAAACAAGAATTGTTTTTTATTAACATAAATATTAAATTAGGAAATACCTTGGAGAATACTTATTTTAAAATACAAAATATCAATGGGCACGCAATTAAAAATAAATAAATATATATCTTCATAGAAGGTGAATAAAAATGCTCAATTTAAAATAGACTGATTTATAATTAAAGCATTCCTACTTAATAAATGTAATTAAATAGGTAGCTAATCATCTTTATATTTGGACTTTCATATTAATATGAAGGTTAAAGTGAATAAAAGTATACATTACGTATAAAAAAAAATTGATTAATTCATAGATACCTACCTAACTAATAAACATTATAAATATTTGACTTTGTTAAGCTGTTAATAATTTATAATCATCAAATAATAACAATTAATGATTTCAGGTATAAAACAGTTTTGAGTTTCTTAAGCCCTTTAATATTTTATTTTATTCAACTATTATTATTTTCAGTATGGAAAATGCTTATTTATTGTCAGCTTTCAAGACCATATCCTTTATATATGATGTAATAACATATCCTGTGTATTTAATATTACAACAGCCATGGAATAAGAAGCATAAGTCCAAGCAAATAAAAGTATGATTATCTACTTAAATATATTAATATAATTTATCATATAGGTATCTTAATTATTGTTACATGTAGATTACTTATTTACTTATATTTGTAACTATTCAAAAATCATGCCCTTCCTAGTTTTTAATATTATTAAATTTCATGTTTTTATGAGTTCTAACTTGTAGATTTATATTACAACTAAACACCCCCTAAACTCTCTGAAAAATAAAAATCATCATATTTCTTTAATTAATAAATTATTATATAATTATTATGATACCTAAATGTTTAGCAGTGTATATATTTTTAACCTGATAAATAAACATAGCTAAGTCAATTTAGTGATCATATTAGTCTTTTAGAATACAACTAATTTTTTAATATTTTTTTTCAGTCTGATATTACCAAATTTGACGATCACACAATTATTATTAAAACCTTAAGTAAACCCACATCGAATCATCTTACTCTAGTCAAAGATAAGATAGATACACTACAAAAAGTATTTCAGTATGCTGTAAATAAATATGCTTATTCATATTGCCTTGGAACTAGAGATGTACTTGCTGAAGAAGACGAAGTGCAGCGAAATGGAAGAATTTTCAAAAAAGTTAGTATCTACTTATATTATATTATGAATTATGATAATTTAATTTTGAATGACACATCAACATACATTTACAAATTTAATAAATATTACAAAATGTGTGAAATGTATAAAATAAAATTGTAAAATTCTTAATGACTGTGTTCAAATTCTCCAATGGAATAATATGTTAATAACTAAGTGGTTTTTGGGATATTAACTGTTAGTATTTATTTAAAATTATATCTTTGATTGCATATATTATCTAAGAGACTATAATTTTGTATAAACTAATAAGTACTCGTATAGCTAACTCCAATTAATAATTTCTTATATGGTATTAGATATTTTTAATTTTAATATGGAACTAAAAAACATGATAAGCAGAAAAAAAACTAAATAAAAAAGTTTTTTTTAATGTTTTTGTTTTGTAATATTTGTTGACTTTTTAATTACAACAAAATTATCAGAATCAAACGTTTATATAGTATTTATTTAATTACAAAACTAATATAAAACATTTGTGTTAAAATAATTAATTATGTTATTATGAGATTTAAAAAAGGTTTTAATTTTTTTTTAGTATGTCATGGGAGATTATAGATGGATGACATTTACAGAAGTGGACAAGGCATCTGATCATTTTGGAAATGCTTTAGTATCTCTAGGTCAAAAGCCTAAAGAAAATATAGCAATATTTGCTGAAACAAGGGCTGAATGGATGATATCTGTTCAAGGTTGTTTCAAACAAAATATACCTGGTGAATAATCATTTTAGTAAACAAAATTTCTTTTTTATACTAGGTATAATTTAAGTATACAAGTTATTATAAATAATCTATTGTAAGATTTATTTTCTATAATTTATTATTTATACCTTTTATATAGTTGGAATAATAATATATTTATAATTATCATAGTTGTAACATTATATGCGACCCTTGGAGAAGATGCAATAGCACATGGTATAAACGAAACTGAGGTGACTATTGTTATTACCTCACATGATCTGTTACCAAAATTTAAAAAAATTTTACAACTCACTCCTCGAGTTAAAACTTTAATCTACATGGAAGATCAATTAGCAAAGACAAACACCAGTGGTTATAAAGACGAAGTTGAAATAATATCATTTAAATCTGTTTTGAAAAGGGGGTCAGAATACACAGTTACAGGTTACATTTTTAATATAATATCTTAATTTTTAATAAAAAAGAAATAATTTTTTAATTTGTATTGTAGAAAACCATTTACCAATAAAGAGTGATATAGCAATTGTTATGTACACTAGTGGATCAACAGGCACGCCTAAAGGTGTTAATCTATCACACACTAATCTTATATCAACGCTCAAAGCTTTTACTGATGCTATTAATATAGATTACAAGAGAGACGTATTTATGGGATATTTACCATTGGCACATGTTTTTGAATTGCTTGGAGGTGATTAAAATTAATTTATTAGAAATTTTTTGTATTTATGTATTTATGTAACTCAATGCTGGGTTGCATTAATAATCACTAAACATTTAATAAATTTTTTATTAAATGGTACCTTAACCATGATTTAAGGTCTATACTTTAAAGTCTTTTAAATTTCATTTAAATGCAATCCGACATAAAAGTTGGTATAAACTATAAAGTATAATGTTGTCTGTTGATTATAATTTATTTACAACTGATTTTTATAAACTAAAATCTGTTTATTTTTTTTTGTAAAATATCAGGTACAACATTTTCATCATAATTTTCATGAATTCACTATTTATCAAGTGTATATTTAGACCATGTACTCATTTACTTAATTATGTATTTTTTTTATTTATTTTTTATTTATTACAGAACTGGCTTGTTTATTATGTGGAATTAGAATTGGATATTCTACACCATTAACTATGATTGATACATCTAGTAAAATCAAACGTGGAACAAAAGGCGATGCAGCTGTATTAAGACCAACCCTCATGACTGCAGTTCCTGTATGCATTTTATTTTTCCAAACAGGTTTTGCAATTTTAAAACAATTATTTGTATGTTAATATGTTTATATAGCTCATATTAGATCGTATCTACAAAGGCATTAATGAAAAAGTTTCTAGTGGGACGACATTTCAAAAAACGTTATTCAAATTTGCATTTGAATATAAAAGAAAATGGATGGAACGTGGATTTCAAACTCCATTAATTAATATGTAAAATTAAATGTGTTACATAATTATCTTTATTTGGACCTTTGAACGCACTTTATTTTAACTTCTTATTTCAGGTTAGTATTTAAAAAAACAAGCGCATTATTGGGAGGTCGTATACGTTTCATTCTGTGTGGAGGAGCTCCTCTGTCACCAGAAACTCATACTCTTATCAAAATTTGTCTATGTGAAAACGTTCAACAAGGTTATGGACTAACTGAGACTAGTTCATGTGGATCTGCAATGAGCCGTTAGTACAATAATATTAATTTTGTTAAAACAAAACAGTTTTAAAATATTCAGCTTAAAAAATAATTATAATAGGAGATGATATGTCAACGGGTCGAGTAGGAGCTCCACTAACGGTTAATGATTTCATGTTAGTCAGTTGGGAAGAAGGTAGCTATAGAATAACAGATAAACCATTTCCAAGAGGCGAGCTTATTATAGGTCAGTTATTAAATTTGTAATATAACTTATAATTAAATATGTTTAACGGCTAATGTTTCCTTAGGTGGAGATAACATATCACCTGGGTATTATAAAAATCCTGAAAAAACTAAAGAAGAATTTTTTGAAAAAGATGGCAAATGGTGGTTTAAAACTGGTGACATTGGTCAGTTGGAAGCCGATGGTGCCATTAAAATAATTGGCAAGTATAATTGATGAACTGTCACTTAAAATTAAAATAACCCTACAACTTTATATATGTACATATGTTACAGATCGTAAAAAAGATTTGGTAAAATTGCAAGGTGGCGAGTATGTGTCTCTTGGTAAGGTTGAATCACAACTCAAAACCTGCCCAGTTGTTGATAATATATGTATTTATGGAAATCCATTTCATATGTATACAATTGCATTGGTTGTTCCCAACAGACATCACTTGATAGATATGGCTAAAAAATTGAATATTGAAAATGTAAATGAAATTAGTATTGAAGAGTTGTTTTCAAATAAGGAATTGGAGAAAGCAGTTGTTGATGAGTTGGCTGTTCATGGTAGAAAAAGTATGTTAATATTGATGTTTTGGTCTTTAAATTACGTTGTAATAATATTTTATGGGTGTAATTGATTTCAGATAAACTTGAAAGGTTTGAAATACCTACAGCAATTATAATATGTAATGATGTATGGACACCAGACAATAATCTAGTGACAGCTGCTTTCAAAATCAAACGAAGAGAAATATATGATAAATATAAAGTTCAAATTGATAATTTGTACCAATTTTGATAACATTTATTATTGGAAAAAAAAGGAAGACCAAAATAACAAAATTTTATATTACTTTTAGAGTATGTTTATTTTACCAAAAGCAATTAATTAATTTTATATTAATAGTATTTTAGGATGTATACATTAATAAATATGTTGTTATTAATTCTTGCAAATTTAATTTTAGTTTGATACTTCATCCCTGTACAATGTTTACATAACATTTTTGTGTAATATTATCAATCAGAACTTAATTGTTGTCATTAATGGCTTCAGATTTGTTTGTGTTGATATTACCATTGCATTGTTGTTTTGTTTGCTCTATTTGTTCAAATTGATTGTGGTTACGTAAAATACAATTTTTTCTACGTTCTAAAAAACAAAATGATTATTTATCATTTTTTTTTTTTTTAAATTTTACATAGTATATGTATTTGAAATTAGTCCCTAATGACTGATGACTATAATATTGTTAAGCGATAAATAACAAATGTGTATATTAAATATTAAAATTTATTATTTGTATTTTTGAAAACTAAATTTTATTAGTTTATAAAAGAAGTTCCAATTATTCTCAATGACAGCTAAGAATTTGCTAATGTCAACAAATTCTATAATTTATAAATTATAACTTAAGTAGTTTTTACTGATATTTTATGTTGTGTAGAAAATGTTCTCACAAATGATCCAAATGTTTATCAAAGAAACAAATTATTATGTGGATGGATTGACACGCGAGTATTGAACAATATAATATGTGTTATTGACTGGCATAATATTCCATTACTGAGGTACCTAGTGTTAATTTTCTACTTTCACCGTATTCCGTGTAAACAGGGTGAATAACAGTTCCACAGTGGGTTAGGTGATTATTAATCAGGGAAAATTCTGTACATTGTTTACACATGGCAGTGTAACTCCTAAGTTGCAACAGAGTCTCAATTTTATTGGTGATCCCGCCAACTGTAGGGTTCTGTTTCAAGGAGCTGTTTGAAACAGTGAAACTCGATACAGAAAGTGGCTCCTTACTAAGCACATATTTATGTAAATGTAAAGATATTACCTAGTGTGTTGACTATAACTCATAAGAGTACACTTAGAGAAATATTTAGTTACCTACCATCCAACAGGCCAACTTGGAGTCAAAATTGTGTTTTATAATTTTACCTCCATAACAGACTAATAATTTAATTTTTATAAACCAAATATTCTGTTGTTATCTTAACAATATTTAAAATCAATTTAGTCGTTAAGCATCAGATTTTAACCGTAAGTATTGATTATAAGTTATAATAAATACTGGACAAGTTATTGATTTTTTTTTGACTCAGTTAAGTAAAGTTAATACATACCTTTTTTTAAACTTTTTAATAAGTTAAAAAAAATTAATTTTTGTATACAACTCTAGCGTACCTACTTACTTTTGCCCAACCAATGAAATGCAATTATCAGTTTTTAAAAAAACACAAAAAAGAGTAAAAAGTCACCCCAGCTTACAGTATATAATCTTAAGAAAAAGTTATATTTGAGAAATATTCAATACAAAACCTGAATAATTGTTTGTTTATAATAGTAATTAATACCTACAACAACTGTAAAGCCAGTCTTGTGGATTGTATCTTATTGTGGTTGGCAGTTGGAGGTAACCATGGTATCATTACTTAAATATGATCTTTTGGCTAAGAGTTGGGATGACCTTAACTTTAGTACACAGCACATTAAATTACATAGGTAGCAGTGAATCAACCTACAATAAAAGAAAACAAAAGTAGTAACTTTACCAAAACCAGAATATTTTTATAAAGATTTGATACCTTATCCAAAAAGCTACAGACTGATCTACACTAATAATAGAATTTCTCTAAATTATTAGCAAACATTCAATATCTTTTCTACGATATAGGTAGGTATACTCGGAACTGTGGTATTATGATATTTCACAGAATTACTTTTCCACACTAGATAAGCGTTAATTGCTTATTGTTTCACGTTATTAGGCACTATAGATGCCGCACCTACATATAATAATAATAATACCTAACTACCTATATATAACAATTAATATTAGCTAATAGCTTTAGGAAGTACTGCAGTGGCGTACACAGATACCTATCTTCAATAATTCAATAGGAAGGATTAAATATAATAATTATATGTAAATACCAAGGGGAGAGGGACGGGTTGAACACAATAAAACCCCTTGTGGGTAAGACACTAATATGTTGGACATGACATATTATAAGTTGCTGTCAATTCTTACTGATGTTGTTAATCGGTGCACAGTACCGTTCCACTGGGCTCAGAGGACCATTCGGCACGAGTTCGCAAATGTAAGGCAACCTCCTCGAACAGTCCTCTGTTTCCCAGTACCTGTTGCTCGCTAGAACTACGCACTCTTTTCTTGAACTACCAGTTTTTGGATGACCTGGCGCCCATGCTCTAAACGGTAAACACCTCAACGGTTCACCTTGAACACACATAATTTAAAAACATTATTAATATTATAAGTTATTATTAATTATATTCTTATTCTTTCCACAATGATCTGAAATACTACCAAATCCTATAGAAATAGAAATATTGCTTATTAAAAATTATTCAAAAAGGATCACATTCTGTAATGATAAGATAATACTATATAACCTAAAAGGTTTTAATACTTTGATAAAAAACTGTCAGTTCGATATAAGACGTAAACCGATAAAAAACATGTGTTATTACAATGGCGCAATCGGAAAAACGAAAGTAAAAACAGGAAATGTGATTTTAGTACTATTGTAACAAAAGTGGCCTAGTTCCACGAGGAAATAGTTAAAGGAAAAGTGAACAATTGTGTTAAACGGTCAGTTAAATCGAAAAGTTATGTAAAACGGAAAACATGATGGAACAGGATAAAAACTAGGTACATATTACCCTTTGAACCTTCCAATTTGGAAAAATGGAAGAGATTAATAATGATATTCATTTTATCACAGATTATAACTGAGGATACGCAAAAGCAAGCTATTATACTGCACAAAGGTGGGCAATTTTTACAAGATACTTTTTTGGAATACCAGAGCATGGTTATCCACCAAATGGAACAACGGTGTTCCAACATACCATAAATCTGTTAGATCAGTATTTCATACCAAAGGTAAATCCAGTGTATGAAAGACATGTTTTCAGAAAAATAATACAAGAAGGTAATGAGTCAGTCGGACAGTTTATATCAAATCTAAGACAACAAATAGCCAAATGTGGTTTTGCGGATGCTGATACAGAAATGTGTGATCAAATAATAGAACACATCTGATGAATTAGACGAAAGTTAGTCGAGAAAAACAACTTAAGTTTGTTTGAAATCATTGAAGAGGCTAAGCGGTTCAAGTTAGTAGTGCAACAACCAGACACACTTGGTAAAAATGAAAAAGAAACGGTAAATAAAGTTGCAAAGAATGAAAAAAATAAGAATTGCAAAATGGAAAAGTTAAAAATGAAAAGAAAGGCATGCTATAGATGTGGGAATGAAAACCATTTGAGGAGCATACTAGTTATGATACATTACAGCGGGAGATTTATTCCAAACCTAGCAGATAAACAAAATCGTTAAGATCACAGCAAACAGAAAATGGTCATGGAACAAGCAGCATTCGATGATCTAAAAGATTGAGTTTTGGAATTAACTCTGAGGAAGATAGGAAGAAGATACATGTGTCTTGCCTAAAACGCGCGCCCATAGGACAAAAATAAAATAAAATTTTTTGTTTATTTTACATTTTTTTTTTGTATTCACTACTAACCACCCCTCTCTAGCACCATGGCAAGACAAGGGGACGACAGATGGGAACCAGTGGCGGCCCTGATCAGCCAACTCTGTTTGGTCCACACAGACATGCCGATAACAGCCGCGCAGGTACGCCGTATGCCACTACGTCAACTGCTTCAGGACCCGGTAAGGGCGGCAATTTACAACCGTGGATGGGACGACCGGACAGCGGACGTGGAGCGGCGGTTGCGTCCACAACAGTCATCCACACCACACGGCAGCCGCACCAAATCCATCACACGTCAAAAACGCCCATAACAAGCCGGACCCCACACACAAAGGGCCCCCACAGGGGCAACAAGGGCAACCGCCCCAGTACTACCCAGGGAGCCAGCACCGGTACCCGTGGTGGTAGGGGGAAACCCAACGGCAGTAGTCAAGGTAAGGCCGGAGGCGCAGCAAGCACGGATCAAAAAAAAATTCCAAAAGTTGAAGGAGAAAAGGTTGGAACGGGAACGCCAGGCAACGCAAGCACATAGGCTTCCCAAGCGCACCCAACCAACCTCGAATCCCGACACGGCCAGCTGCCCCCCAACCGAACCTACACCTCCGGAAGCCATGGAGGTTGACCAATCCGCGACCAATGACGAAAAGGCCGAGGAGCGGGGGGGGGGGGGGTCAACCAGCCAAGCACAACCACAACCAGCGTCGGACGAGGATCAAACCTCCTACGATGCATGGTTGGATGAGCAAGACAAGCGGCTGGAGGGGCTACAGGGGGGGAAACGGTGTACCCACAACCCTTCTTCACCCCAGCAACATCCCCGACAAGGGAATAAATGAACACGGGAAGGGCAAGCCTACCACAAGCAATGGCAAGGGGTAGCGCAAGCTACAACACAAGGGACGCCAGCACCGGTACAATTGTACCCCGTGCGGCGGTTTGGCGGGGAAGTATGATACGGTACGCAACCGACGACCAGTACAAAGTACAGGCTTCGGAGCTACCTATCTGCACTTCACAAACCGCCACCACGGGCTACAAGCGCGACACCGCCAACTCTCCCACCACGCCGCAAAGGCAAGGCGGGACGAGGAGGCAAGGCGCGTAGGACGAGTACCGGCCGCCGGCTCCCTCTCGTTCTTCAACCACCGTCACGGTCTGATCTCGTTCCTACAACAGGCGATCCACCGTATCCGTCTTTTGTAATTGATATTGTAAAATATCTGCCTTCACCCGATCACGGGTCTTTCTGTTATATTTACTTATCTTTCACGTTAAATAAACGCCACCCGGCATTTACACAACCCTTACGTTCGTGTTTCCGTTTGTTTGATTTTTATAAACTATTAAGTTGTGCGTTCGTGCCGAGTGCATCAACACGCACCCACAACAACGACCGGCCTACCAGTCCTACCAGTGTAGCCGTGTCAAAGTCTTCCAAGACGAAATAAGACAAGTACTTGTTAACATTCCTAATGTGATCAACGTCAGTGATGACATACTGATGTATGCCAAATCTCAAGATCAACACGAAAATATTTGGGAAAAAAAAACCAAATCGATTACAAGAAATAGGACTTACATTAAACTATGAAAAATGTCTATTTAGTGTCGAGAAGCTTACATTCTTTGGTTATCAGTTCAGTGAATAGGGCGTCAAGATAGATGGAAAAAAAATTGAAGCCTCTGTACAACTCAAGCCACCATCAAATGTATCTGAAGTAAGGAGCATACTAGGTATGATACATTACAGCGGCAGATTTATTCCAAACCTAGCAGATAAACAAAATCGTTAAGATAACAGCAAACAGAAAATGGTCATGGAACAGCACAGAACAAGCAGTATTCGATGATCTAAAAGAATGTATTGTAAAAAATGTACTAACTCCTATTATGACACACATAAACAAACCGAAATAATTGTTGATGCAGGACCAGAGGTCACTGATGCCATCTTGGCTCAATCACCTAATAATATAATTGCTTGTGCAAGTAAGGTATTGAATAATGTTGAAAAAAAGATACTCGCAGATAGAAATAGATACACCATCGTCACAAAAGTTGAAGGATGGAGATAAAATTTACGCTGATAATTTACAACTACCACCTGCCACCAGTTTTCAAAATTAGACCTCAATGAAGGATACCACCAGTTGGAGTTGGATTGTGCATCAAGGTCTATTACAACATTTAACACCCACGTTGGTTTAAGACGGTACAAAAGATTGAGTTTTGGAATTAACTCTGAGGTAGGAGTCTTCCAAGACGAAATAAGACAAGTACTTGTTAACATTCCTAATGTGATCAACGTCAGTGATGACATACTGATGTATGCCAAATCTCAAGATCAACACGAAAATATTTGGGAAAAAAAAACCAAATCGATTACAAGAAAAAGGACTTACATTAAACTATGAAAAATGTCTATTTAGTGTCGAGAAGCTTACATTCTTTGGTTATCAGTTCAGTGAATAGGGCGTCAAGATAGATGGAAAAAAAATTGAAGCCTCTGTACAACTCAAGCCACCATCAAATGTATCTGAAGTAAGGAGCATACTAGGTATGATACATTACAGCGGCAGATTTATTCCAAACCTAGCAGATAAACAAAATCGTTAAGATAACAGCAAACAGAAAATGGTCATGGAACAGCACAGAACAAGCAGTATTCGATGATCTAAAAGAATGTATTGTAAAAAATGTACTAACTCCTATTATGACACACATAAACAAACCGAAATAATTGTTGATGCAGGATCAGAGGTCACTGATGCCATCTTTGCTCAATCACCTAATAATATAATTGCTTGTGCAAGTAAGGTATTGAATAATGTTGAAAAAAAGATACTCGCAGATAGAAATAGATACACCATCGTCACAAAAGTTGAAGGATGGAGATAAAATTTACGCTGATAATTTACAACTACCACCTGCCACCAGTTTTCAAAATTAGACCTCAATGAAGGATACCACCAGTTGGAGTTGGATTGTGCATCAAGGTCTATTACAACATTTAACACCCACGTTGGTTTAAGACGGTACAAAAGATTGAGTTTTGGAATTAACTCTGAGGTAGGAGTCTTCCAAGACGAAATAAGACAAGTACTTGTTAACATTCCTAATGTGATCAACGTCAGTGATGACATACTGATGTATGCCAAATCTCAAGATCAACACGAAAATATTTGGGAAAAAAAAACCAAATCGATTACAAGAAAAAGGACTTACATTAAACTATGAAAAATGTCTATTTAGTGTCGAGAAGCTTACATTCTTTGGTTATCAGTTCAGTGAATAGGGCGTCAAGATAGATGGAAAAAAAATTGAAGCCTCTGTACAACTCAAGCCACCATCAAATGTATCTGAAGTAAGGAGCATACTAGGTATGATACATTACAGCGGCAGATTTATTCCAAACCTAGCAGATAAACAAAATCGTTAAGATAACAGCAAACAGAAAATGGTCATGGAACAGCACAGAACAAGCAGTATTCGATGATCTAAAAGAATGTATTGTAAAAAATGTACTAACTCCTATTATGACACACATAAACAAACCGAAATAATTGTTGATGCAGGACCAGAGGTCACTGATGCCATCTTGGCTCAATCACCTAATAATATAATTGCTTGTGCAAGTAAGGTATTGAATAATGTTGAAAAAAAGATACTCGCAGATAGAAATAGATACACCATCGTCACAAAAGTTGAAGGATGGAGATAAAATT